ACACTTTATAGATCCTTTGTCAGTGTCAGTCATGAGGATGAGTTACGGCCATTGCTTGACCAATTTGCTCTCTGTGAAAGCATTAGAGAAAGTTTTCTCTCTGTGTGACTCCTTCGGCACACTCTACATCATTGATCACATTCCTCTGTGGCTCCATAATCTCCTTGATCAGAAAATTTGGGGCACAACTGAGTTACCTGATGTTACAGTACAGGTTTTCCTATGTCCTCAGTCTTCACTGACTTTGAAAAGCTAGGGCCAAAATGTTGGCTGACCTTGCAGCCCTTCCTTTTCTCCAATTTTTGATCTGCAAACTTAGGTGGTTAACCCTCAGAAGAGAAGCTTATTACCCTGTAACATATGCAGTTCAGTTTACTGTCTAATTATTAAACATCTTAGGCATAATGTGGAACAGATATTTTCCATCAGTGCTGCTTAATTTTAAACAGGAATCAAGCAGTCTGTCTCTGCCTCTCTTACTCCCTCTCTTCCTGTTTTCCTTTTTGTCTTTCCCTCTCCCCATACTAGAGATTAAACCTCTGGCTTTCACACTGAGCTATATCCCAAGCCTTGATCTTTTTCCTCCCCAATTTTTAATTTTGAGCAGGGTTTTGCTAAGTCACTAAATTGTGCAGGTTGAGTTTAAATTTGTAAACCTCCTACCTCAACCTCTCAGAATGCTTTTACAGGCATTTACCCCTACATTCAGCTTCAATAGACATTTATTAAAAGTACTTTTAATGTTGTGATTTGGCAAAGAAAAAGTATCATTTTTGCAAATAGTGACTTAATTGTAAAGAATTAAACAATACAAAAAAGTGCAAGGAATTTTTAAAACATCTCTATAAACACTCATCAACACCAACTTTTTTCTGTAGATGTATTTCTATGCAGATAGATAGGCAAAATAAAGTGGTAACACTACATAAACAATAAAAACTGGGCTGTGTTGGGATTAGTTTTTGTAAAGCATTTTTTTTCTTAAGTTTTATCATGGAAGACATTCAAGTATTAAACTTATTTTTGTTTGATTTTAACAAAAGAAAAAGAAACCCTTGTACAAATTCGAGTTAGTGATTTTTTTTTTTTTAATGAGGTCCATATAGATTAAAAGAGGGATTATGAAAGACATTGCAATTTGGAACATTTTTTAAAATTCAGTGTTTTAAGTTTAGTATTAACTCCTGTCATGAGAGATGAAGCCACTAGGTATCTTTTCTAAGTTACATTGGGTAACTTCCTCAGATTTTACAGTATTTATGGTCTATTAGCCATATCTGTACTACCTGCCTAACCGCTTTCTCTTTCATTTTTAAATTTCTGTCAGTAAGAATGTTTCTGTGATTTTTGTAAAATTTCTATTGAAACTATTGTTCTGGTATTCACTTCTTCATGTAGAGGGTAGCCTCTTCTGACTATTGCTTTTAGGAAAAATTTGCTCCTGCTGACTTACTGGCTCCCTTGCTAGGAAAGTAGGCACAGTATTAGATTCTCTCTGTACTTTGGTTACCAAGAAACACAGTAAGTGTCATGAGCTTCAGATTATATAGTATAATTTTATATGTACTTCTTTTTTGGTATTATGTGTTTAAGCTCCCTCAGAACTTTTTTGGAAAATATGAAATATAATAAATTCTTTAAAGTACATTTTAATTCAGAATGAATTTTTGGTGGTATTTATTTGAAGGCACACATTTTGTTGCTGCCTAAATTGTCTACTTGTTAGCTGAAATGTTTGAAATTGATCTGTATCAGTCAGTGCTTTCTTTCAGAAGAGTTAAGCATATTTAAGATAATAGAAAATCTTAGTTGTTATGAGTAAGTTTCAGAAAAGTTATATCCAGAATAAAAGAAAGCCTTTAAAATGGAAAAGGAGGGTCAGGGAGGTGGCTCAGTGGAATAAGCAGTTCCCTGGCAAGCATAAGGGCTTGAGTTCAATCCCGGTTCTGAGAAAAAAAAAAAAAAAAAAAATGGAAAAGGATACTTATTATATGTTTTTATGATTTATTCTTTAATCCTCACAATAATCTTAGTTTATTATTTAATAGATTTATTACTTTGTATTTGGTATGAAAACTAAAGTTCACTAGAGTAAACTTTCTTTCCCAAGGCCTCATAGCTGATGAAAGTGGAAATGGAATTTGCATCCTTTTTTTTTTTTTTTTCCTGAAAGATTATAGTAGAAGCTTTATTACTGATTTTTAAAAAAATTTTTTTAATTTGTTTGGTGGAACCAGGGATTGAACTCAGACCCTTGAGCTTGCCAAGCAAGCGTTTATTCTACTGAGCCATCTCCCTGGCCCCAAACTGATGTATTTTTATTGGTGGGAACACTTTGTAGGATAAACATGAACCGTTACAACCTTTGTTCTGTAGATGCTTTGGAAAATTTATCCACTTACGAGAATATATCCTAAAGAAATAACCTCTCTGTAGGGGACAGAGTAATTAGAGACTGGACATTTAAAATAAAAAGATTTTACCTTAATATTTCAATTTAAAAATCAGAATACATTAAACCAAAGTAAAAATGTTTAAATCATTTTTGAGATAAACCGTAGCTCTAGGTCTGACTAGGGAGCATTTTTTAATATGTATGTGAAGTTCAACAAACTGCTTTGGGGCTGGGGAGATGGCTCAGTGGAATAAGTGCTTCTCTGGCAAGCGCAAGGGCCTGAGTTCAATCCCCAGTTCCACCAAAAAAAAACTGCTTTGGTTGGTAATCAAGAGCAAGTAGCATTATTCCTCAAGTGACAGTGGTTTATTGGTTTCCTGGTCATTTTATAGATACCTCAAGATTTCTTTACTGGGCTGGTGAGATGGCTCAGTGGTCTAAAGCACCTACTTAGAACAAGCTTAGCAAAGCACAGGGACCGCGGTTCAATCCCCCAGCACCACATGCCAGCCAGTCCCGCCCCCTGGTGGGCTGAGCTGGCCACACACAAACACATACACATAAATAAATAAATAAAATTTAAAAAAAAAAAAAAAGATTTCTTTACTTTTCCCATCACTTCCTTTCTCTATAGAGAAAGACGTTGTGTGACATAACAATACAATATGTCCTCAAGGGTCACGTGCCTCCTAGGTGGCAGAAATACAGTTTGAGTACAGGTTTGTCGGACTCCCCCATCTGCAGCTGTGGCTTGTGCACTGCAGAGGCTGCATCAGGACAGATGAAATGGGGGAGAAAGATGAAGATCGCTTCAGTTTCACTATGGCTGCATTGGTCGTTCACTTTTTGGGAGGATACATTTTTCACTGAAGGCGTACTCGCCACTCTTTGAACACATGCCACCAGCTTGCGGCTTTCTGAAGTAGTTCTGGAAGCCTTTTATGCTTTTAGTTGTGCTCTTGCAGCAGCCTCAGTGTCCTGAATCAATTCAAACAGTTTGCCTTTCATGATCATCTTGATTTTTGAGGAAGATCCAGAAGTCACAAGGTGCCAGATCCAGTGACTAAGGTGGGTGAGGAGGCACTGTGATCTTTTTATGAGCCTGCTTCCTGTTGGCTCACACGTGGCAGCAGTGCTCCACTGTATTTTTTAATCACATCTTGTAAAGACACAGAAGAGGGCTTCTCAAACTTTCACAAAATTCGGGGCCAGGGAGATGGCTGAGTAGAATAAGCGCTTCCCTGGCAAGCGCAAAGGTCTGAGTTCAATCCCCGGTTCTGGAAAAAAAAAAAAAACTTTCAAAGAATGATAAGATAGAGTGTTCCAAGCAAGGATAGTATTTTGAGGAGGATTAATGATGATGTGTCTTTCAATTTAATGGTTGCTGTATATTTTGATGGGTTTGGAGATGTGGCCTGTGCCCACGTTACAGCTTTTCCACTTAGGCAAGTTACATTAATTCTCTGTGTTTTATTTCCATTATTTGTGAAATGCTGTGATAGTATGAAAGTCATTCGACTGTTCGTGGAATAAGAAAGGCATCTTGTCCTGCAGGAATTATTCAGGTCATGGGAGAACATCTATCCAACTTCCAAGTGCCTGGCTAGGGCATTGGTTCACAATTTTGGCTATGTATTATAATCATGAAAGTTTTGTTTTAGAATACAGATGCACTACTGTGTGTGTGTGTGTGTGTGTGTGTGTGTGTGTAGTGCTGCGGATCATTCCCTCAGCCATATGTGCAAGGCAAATGCTCTGACATCTGGCTACACACCCAGCCCTTTTTTGAACTCCTGCTATTCTGCTAAATAACACTTTGATAGGGCAAGGGGATAAGACTTTCCCTAGTACGTACTTGTTGTTTTAGAAGTGCCACAGGACTTTTGTCTGGTTTCGTTTGTTTTTCGTGGTGCTAGGACAGCTCCAGAGCCTTCACACTGAGCTGCATCCCTAACTCTTCCCTCTTGCAATTTTTTTTGGAGGTTTTTTTTTTTTCAGGCCCTTGTGCTTGCCAGGGAAGCACTTATTCCACTGAGCCATCTCCCCAGCCCCAATTTTTTTTTTTTCTTCTTTTGTGACAAGTAATGTCAGTAAGTCACTGAATTGCCCAGTCTGGACCTGAAATTGCAGTTACTCTGCCTCAGCCTTCCATAATGCTGAGATTCTTTTTCTATTTCATTCACTGCTGTATCCCCAACATATAGAACAATACCTGCCTAGCGAATAGTAGCCACTCAATAAATATTTTTAAATGAAAAAAATTATCTTTGGATTCTCAGGGATTCATCTATTCTCTTTCTATACCATTTAATAATTTTTATTTTTAAATTTATAAAGATTAAATTCACTCTAAAAGGTGAACCGCCTGCTGCTTTATGATCAAAGCCTCCCCTCACAGTCAACCCTTAGCAACCACAGATGTAGCCCTCACCCTTACAGCGTGGGTTTTTCAGAATGTCCGATTCAATATGTGTGATGCCTTTGAGGTTCATATATGTTGTAAATGTATCAACAGTTTATTCTTTTAGAGGCTAAATAGTATTACATTGAAGCCGGAACAAACATATCAACACTCTTGTCCTGTTTTGTTCTTTTTGATGTTTAGCTTTCCAGAGTGCTGGATCTTCCACCAGAAAACTTAATCAAGTCAATATCTGCAATTCCAATTTCCAAAAAAGAGTTAAGTATGATGTATTTATAACAGCCTAAAATGTTGCTAAATTTGTTGATAATTAAAAAAAGTGTTACTCTTCAGTTTATAAAATGGTCTTTTGTATTAACCATTGATATTGCTAGTGATATTTAACCTATTATCCTATTATTCCAATTGATTTAATAAAATTGAAATATGTATTTTAGGTACTTTTGACAGGTAATATTATTCATATGTTATTTTGATGTTTTTCTTATGCTAGTCATGATAATTATAGCAGTCTTTTGGAATGAGGTCCAGATTTAGTTGTAACAATAGACAAAAGAAGTAAAAGTGTGATAACAGCTTCAAAATCAGTTACCTTTTTCCTAAAGTCTGTTAGTTACATACTGTCATTAGAGTTTCAGGGCAAAATCCCCAGCTCTGAGGTTCTAAGAGACCAGGATCAGCCATGTGTCCCATAACATGTATCACGATGAGGGGTGGTGCCTGGCCTGGTGGCGCATGCCTGTAGTCCCAGGGCTTGATCGCTGTAAGCTCAAGGCCAGCCTGGGTCATGCCCTGTCTTAAGAAACAAAGCCAAACAAAAGAGGAGCAGTGATGAAGAGGAGGAAAGGAGTTTTTATCAGTTTTGCCGCCCTCAGATGCACAGATAAAGAGGTAGAGTGTCTTGGGGGCTGACAGAAGCTTTGGGGTTTTATAGAAAGGTGAGCAAAGGCATGGTTTGGGGGTCTGCACAGCTGGCAGGGTTTGTAATCCTAGTTGGGTTGATTGGCGTTTCAAGACTGCTTCTCTTAAAAAAAAAATTAAAATTTTTTTTAAAAAACTGCTTCTCTGAGGTTGTGGGAGAGCCCTCATGGCTTGAGGAGGCAGTTTGGTTCCAATCTTGAGGTAGCAGCTTCTGCTTGAGGGAGAGCCTTGGTTCTTGTCATAGGATACTTGCTGTGGTATGGGGGCATAACCTTATGGGGTGGTCTGTGAGAAGTGCTTTTCCTGGAATCCAAAGTGACCACAGGTTTAGGACAATGATTCAAAACCTCTGGGTATCACTTCAGGGGTTCTGGAACTTGATGTTATAAAAGTTTGCTAACTGGGTGTTTGTAAACATCCTGAAAACTAGTTTAGTAACTCCTTGGTCATAAAGGGGGATGAGATAAGCTTAGTAATGTGGGGGCTAATAAACCTCATAATACAAATATTCCTTAAGTGATTATTGTACCTGTGTGCAAAGCTGAGCGAGGATGTGACTCAGAGTGTTAAGGTAATAAAGGAAACATAGAGAATTAAGGCAGATATACCAAGCTTTATCCTGCTTTCATTTACCTCAGAAGTGTGGATGTCCAGCCTTTAGATCCCTGTTGCAAGGGGAGTACCTGTATTTCAATCTTACTTCAAGGGCATTTAATAACTGAGTGATCTCTGCCCCTTTTATGAATAGGATTACATCTGCTTGCTTCTACTTTAATAATTCAACATGCTGAACATTTGATTAATGGGAAATAAATGTTAAGCATGCCTTCAGAACTCTTCTGGGCTACTAGTTTAAAATTTTCTATATTAAATTTACTTAAACCGGGCATGATTGTAGGTGCCTGTAATCCCAGCACCCTGAAGACTAAGGTAGGAAGATCACAAGTTTGAACCTCGCCTGGTGAATTTAGTGACTAATAAGATCCTGTCTCAGAATAAGGAATGAAAGGCTGAAGATGTAGCTCAATGTGAATGCATTGGGTTCAGTTCCAGCACTGAAAAAAAGAAAAGTTTAGTCTGTGGCTTTGCCATAAGATCAGGTTTCCTTATTGTCCTAAGTGCCAACAAAATTAAGTAGAATAAGTGCTTCCCTGGCAAGCGCAAGGGCCTGAGTTCAATCCCCCGTTCCGCAAAAAAAAAAAAAAAATTAAAAAATAAAAAGTTTTCTCAATTATATTTGCAACTATGATTACTTTCCTTTATAATGTTGATTGTTCTGTATTAGAATTAAGAGCTGTTATCAGCCCTTAGCACTCCAGTCTGGATACTATGTAACAATACTATGTAACAGTTTCTGGGAAGTAGTAGAAAAATAGCTGTTGCCTTGTAAACTTGTTCATAATATTTATTTATTTATTTATTTATTTATTTTTGTATTTTAGGGAAGTGTCTACAGGGTCCCACTGCATAGATCGGACTCGTAGTGATCCGCCTGTTTACAGCCTCCCAAAAGCTGGGTTTACAGGCGCATGCCGCCATGCCCAGTCTCAATCGCTGTCTCAGAGTGTCCCGGGGTCAGGGCCAGCAAGGCAGGCCCAGGGATCGAACCCCTGGCCGCTGAGCCTGCTTGTGGGTGCTTTAATCTGCTGAGCTATTTGGCCAGTCTGAAACCAGAGTACTGTTTTTAATTTTTAAAAAATGAAAGGGGAGGGACTAATTTAATAAACTCTGTGGCCCCATCACTTGCCATCATCTGCGTAGGACCAGTTGTTTCATCTCCCCAGGAACCCATTTTCATACCCATACTGGAGTATTTTAGAATTTGCTGGTTTTCAGAGTAGAGATGCTAGGTCATTCCCCCCCTTTTTTTATTTTATTGGTATATGATATGTATAATGATAACATTCATCCTAGGGGCTTTGTACCTGTACATGCTATATCTTGCTTCTTTTTCCTCCCATTTCCCTCTCCTTACGACCCATCTGCCCTTCTTTTTTTGCAAGTGCGTTTTCTTTTTTTTTTTTTTTTTCTTTTCCTCATTGGTTTTTCTATTGAAAAAGCAAATCAGAGAAAAATGTCCCCAGTATTCTTATTACTATTAAGATAACTGATTTTAGCAAGTTGGTATAATTTTCATCTATTCTCTTTTAATGTTTTTCAGATTTTTTTCAAGTAGCTCTAAAATTGCTTACAGAAATGTAAGAATTTTTGACTCTTTTTCCCTTGATAGCATTTTTTGGTAGTGTTCTAACATTCAACCCTTGATAAACATTTAGTTTGCTTTTTAGTTTTGAAATTTATACATGTATTTTACATATAAGAATCACCTTTTTAAATAGCAAAAATTCTTGGTGCATGTGTGATTAGGAGCTCCCAAAAGGAAGAACTACAGAGCAAGTGAAGTCTGGTTGATGTCCTTTGCCTCCTTGAGCTATTTCCTTCTCATCACCTTTTTTACTGGCAGGTGACCTTTTATAAAACTGAAGAATTTCTATTTTAATTATTCTTAATTTAGTTAATTACTTTATTCCACTAGTAATAGACTAAATGAGGTGGTTTTTTTTTTTTTTTTTTTTAAATCTGCCATGGAAATATTTATGATTTCATGCGCTGGCGTGATAGCTTAGTTGTCTGTAGCGCCTGCTAGGGCAAACTCCGTCAGGCACAGGGGACCGCGGTTTGATCCCCAGCACCATATGCCGCACCAGACCCTCCCTTAAAGTAGGCATAAGCATTCAAAAGAAAAAAGGAAAGAAATATGATTCTAGTGGGATAATATGTTTTAAATTGAATTATGTTTAATGTATTATTCCTGTCTACAATAAAATTATAGATGTCTGTTAGTATTCATAATTTTTAAAAAAACATTTTCAGAAAGTCTTATGACTTCTTGGTGCTTTCTGAATGTTTGAATGGCTTGCTGTAGGCTATTGAATATATTTTTTGTTATTGATGTAGTATTTTTTAGTAAGGGTCTGCAGGGTCTACAAGGTCTCACTACATACATCAGACTCATAGTGATCCACCTGTGTTCAGCCTCCTGAAGCACTAGAATTGCAGGAGTGCGCCACCAAGCCCAGTCTCTAGGCCATATCGTATCCTAGCAATACATGAAGAAATCATAACCATCTCTTGATTATTTAAGTCTGTCATTTCAATTAAATTGTAATTAAAGCTCTTACTACTAATTTTCTTTTTTTTCTTTGATTTTAAAAAGTCTTTGTGTTTGTTGCTTCTGTCTTGCTTTTTGTATTCCCATTTTGTTAAAATGATTTCTTTTTTTTTTTGGCGGAACCAAGGGTTGAATTAGGCCCTTGTGCTTGCCAGGGAAGTGCTTATTCTGCTGAGCAATCTCCCCGGCCCACAGTATCAATTTTTTTTTTTTTTTTTTTTTTTTTTTTTTTGTGGAACCAGTGAAATTTCTTTGGTTTCTGCTAATAGGCACAAATACTTCTTTGGAAAAAATATATTTAAATCTTAAATGTTAATTTTTAGAAAATTGAATCATACTGTTTAGTGAGTAATTTAGAAAAGAGAGAGTATAATTAATAATGTCAGTTTATAAAGAAGTACATATACTTCCTTGGGGGTCAGCAATGGTTTTTTTTTAATTCTAAAAAATCATCCATCTGTCTATTTATTTATTTAGTACAGGGTCTCACTGTGCAGCTCAGACTCATAGTGATCCTGGGATCACAGGTGTGCACCACTATACTTAGTTTTGGGGTCTGCACAGTGCACCCTGGGTTCCAGGCCAGCACTGTATATGGTACCTAGGATTAAACCTGGGTCCTTGCACTTGCCAGGCAGGCGCCTTAAACCATTGAGCTTTCTCCCCATCCCCAGTAATGATTTTTATTTAACATCAGAACTGGGATAGATAGAATTTTTAAAATTAATTTTATTGATACATTTTAGCTACATATAATGATCACATTCATCATGGGGAATTTGTTCCTGTACATGATTTATCTTGCTGCTTTTTTTCCATTCCCCTCCCCTCCTGGTAACCTCTTCCTCTCCTTACTTGCAAAGGTTTCTTTCCTTTTTTCCACTTCCCTTCCTTCCTTTACCTCTCCCTTTTCCTACTTCCCCTTTCCATTAGAATATTTTCTTCCTGTTTCACAGTTTCTCTTACACATTTCGGTTCTTATTTACACTTTGAGTTTTTCACACATGATATTTGAACATGTGTCTCTGATTTATTTTACTTAAAAGTATAGTTTCATATTGCATCCATTTACCTATAAATGTCTTAGGTTTATCTTTCTTTATGGAAGAGTAGTACTCCAATGTATAAAAAAATTACATCTTTATCCATTCATTGGCTAATGGGCATTTGGGCTGTTTCAAAGATTTAGGTATTACAAACTGTGCTGCTATAAACATTGATGTATTGCTGTGTTATAATGCTCTTATTTCTTTTGGGAAGCTACCAAGAAGGGGAATAGCTAGGTCAAATAGAACTAGATCTGTGACCAAGCTTGGTTTCTCAACAATTCCATGAAGTGGGCACTGTAAACTTGGTGGGGATCGTATCACACAGACACTGATTTGGAGATGAATGTGGCTCTATGTTTCCAGCGCAGGTGTCAGTGCATTTGTTTGGGTTGATGTGTCTGATCCACTTGAGGAGCTAGAGAATGATGAAGACCCAGATTTGCCCCCCAAGAGGACCTTGCTGTGTGTGGTTCATGCTGGCCTTGAGTTCACTATTATGTAACCCAGTCTGGCTTGGAATTCACTGTGATCCTCCTTCCTCAGCCTTCTAACTACTCTGATTACAGGCATGTGCCATCACATCCAGCTCCAGAAAGATTCTTAATGGTCATTGTAGACTAATTGTTTTAATGTGGTGTTAATCAGAAGTGACATGGACTACTTAGGCATTTCCCTGAATTTCCTGAGTGATAGGAAAGAAGTGATGCATCCTTCTCTGTGTGACACAGAGGCTAGACAGACACTGGTGCAACTCTTATTCCTGTTCTCTGGTTCTTTTATTAAACATCAGAAGAGATGCTGGCATAGGTAGTTATGTAAATATTCATGTGTTAATCTTTTTTTCCCCCGTAACCGGGGATTGAACTCAGGACTTGCGCTTGCCAGGGAAGTGCTTATTCCACTGAGCTATCTCCCCAGCCCTCATATGTTGATTAAAAAATATTTTGTATACCTTGAACTATTTCCAACCTACAGAAAAATTAATAGAAAATAATAAACACTGTCATGTGGTCACCTAAATTGTCAAGTCTCAGTTCTTTTCCATTTTTATTTCAAGATTCCCTTATTCCCCAACCATACCTAAGGGAAGTGGCTGGTGATTTTTATTTTTAGTAATCAAGCATTTCAGATACTGTTCAGGTCACTGATACGTGCTTCCATTCCATTCCCTACCTTCTTTTCTTAATTTCTTTTCTTCACTGTTACTACTCTCTTCAAGCATAATTATTTTCACAAGTGATTGCACTGTATTTGTTTTCACATGGTTTCAGCATCAATCTGATGAGGGCAAATGGCATTGTCTGATGAACTGAGTGTAAAGAACAATCCTCTTTCCCTCATGTTGAAACTCAAATGCATTTAAAAAGAAATATTTCTGAGCCCAGCTGAACAGCTTCGTGACTTAGCAAAGAGATTTAGCTCAGCATGAAGCCTCTGGGTTCAAGCTCCGGTACAGGGGAAAACATGCATTTATCATTTGGAGGAGCCAGCATTTGGAGTAGTAAAGGAAGAACTGTAGAAAAAGTCATGAAACAGGGCCTTTCTCTGAGTTGGCTAATTAGTTATAGTAGGAATTGAGGGGAGACATTTAACTTGCCAGATATATACATATTTCATAGAGAAAACAAAACTACAATTAGATAAGAGAATAGGAAGCATTTTACAAAATGATTTTAAAAGACTTTAATAAATAGAAGATGATTTCTAATTTCTTTGCCTTGTGATTTCTTGTGTGAAAATGACTTACATCTGAATCTTCTGAATAAATCATTTCCATTTTATTCTAATGTAACTTTTGATTAGTCTACTATTACATAAAAATGGGAGTTTTATGTATGTTATCTTTCAGTTGGGCATATTTTATTTTTAAATTATAGAGAAAAGGCAAAACGAACTTTCATAACAAAACAATAGAATTACAGTAGTTAATTGATTATATAGTGTTATTGTTAAAGTAATTACTTAAGAGTACAAGATAATAGGCATTAAAATTTCTCCAACCGATATTAGCACAAAACTAGTAGTTTAATTGATTTGTGTTTTTTCCCCTTTCCCATCCATCCTTTCCTCTTTCCCCCATCTTAGTTCCTTTTTTTCTTTTTGAACAATTTTTTTTTTCATTTTACAGTATCTATTGTACATTTCAGACCTTTCTGTTTCTCATACTAGGGAGACAATGTGATGTTTACATTGTGAGTCTGGTTCATTTCACTTATGAGTAGAGTATGGTCTTAAGTTGCATCCATTTACCTATACAAATTTCAAGTTTATGCTTATTTATGGCTTAGTACTGCTCCATTGTATAAAAAAGCCACATTTTTTTAAAAGTCATTCTTCAGTTGCTGGGAATTTCTAAGATTTAGCTGTTATAAATTGTGCTGCTATAAACATGGGCACTCATACATCACTGTGGTATGATGTTTTTAGTTCTTCTAGGAAGATACTGAAAAGGGAAATATTTAGGTCAAATGGGACCTCTGATCTTAGCTTTTTGAGGAATCTCTGTATGGATTTCCACAGGGGTGATACCAGTCTACACTCCTACCAACAGTGGAGAAGGACTCCTTTTTCCCCACAGTCCCTATAGCATTTGTTATTGATTGATTTTTTTTTTTTTAATATATAATAGTCATTTTTTCTGGGGTAAGATAGAATCTCAGTGTTGTTTTAATTTGAATCTCTTGAATGACCAATGATGTGGAGCATTTTTTAATATATTTACCATTTATATTTCTTCATCTGAAAAGTACGTATTTGTCTCAGATGTCCATTTTTTAATTGGGTCTTTAAATTTGGGGGAGTCTGGTTTGTTTCAATTCTTTATATGTTCTATATGGAAGTCTTTTGTCTGAGGGACAATTGGCTAAACTTTTTTCTACTCTTTTCACAGTTGCTCATTTCTTTTGATATGAAAAAGTTTTTTAGTAAAATTAAGTCCTAGTTGTCAATTCTTTTAAGTGTTTTCTATGAAGTCTGGGTTTTGTTCATGAACTCTGCCTACCCCTGTGTCTTCAAGATTTCTATGTACTTTCTCTTCGAGTACATTGAGTGTTTCTGCT